GACCAGGATGGTCTTGATCTCTTGACCTCGTGATCCACCCGCCTCGGCCTCCCAAAGTGCTGGGATTACAGGCGTGAGCCACCGCGCCCGGCTGGTTGCCTTTTGAGAGGGTAACTGGGTAGCAGCTGGAGGAGAAGGGTGAGGAGATTTTTCACTTTGTATTCTGTGGTACTTTTAAAAACTCTTAAGTCCTGCATATAATATTTATTTCCAAAAAGATCAACCCTCCCCACAACACCACATGTTGGCTTTTCCGCTTCTACCTGGCAGGTGTATAGATGAGAAGAAAGCTCCTCAGGTGGTTTTAATGTGTGGTCTCACTGAACGTGTCAACTCCTCCAAGTGGGTCACTGCTTGCTGAGAAAGCTGCAAAGCATTGCAGAAAGCGTTAGTTTTTCCCATTTTTGCCACAGACAACTTTGTGATATTGGAGGAATTATTGAATTTCTCGGTTTTTCCAATTTCTCATCTGTCAAATAAGTGTTAGTTGGGTGACCTCAAAATCTCCCAGTCCTTAAGATTTGCTGGCTTCCGTGCCTTGGGCGTTGGAAGGGAGTGGGGGGGGGGGACAGACTGAGGGACAGCTGGTCAGTCTTCTGATTCTTCTCCTGGCCAGCTTTCACAACAGCAGGAAAAGTAAGATTGGAGGAAGGATGGTATATTTATTTAAAATATTTATATATTACATGGTACCACATACAGTTTTTTTCTTTGAGATGGAGTCTTGCTCTGTCACCCAGGCTGGATTGTCGCAATCTCAGCTTACTGCAACCTCTGCCTCCCCAGTTCCAGTGATTCTCCTGCCTCAGCCTCTTAAGTATTTGAGATTACAGGCACGTGCCACCACGCCCAGCTAATTTTTATAATTTTGTAGAGATGGGGTTTCACCACATTAGTCAGGCTGGTCTTGAACTTCTGACCTTGTGGTCCACCCGCCTTGGCCTCCCAAAGTGCTGGGATTACAGGTGTGAGCCACCACACCCGGCCACCACATACACTTTTTTAAAGTTCTTTCTATAAGTTTTTTCTTTTTTCTTTTTTCTTTTTTTTTTTTTGGAGACGGAGTTTCGCTCTTGTTACCCAGGCTGGAGTGCAATGGCGCGATCTCGGCTCACCGCAACCTCCGCCTCCTGGGTTCAGGCAATTCTCCTGCCTCAGCCTCCTGAGTAGCTGGGATTACAGGCACGCGCCACCATGCCCAGCTAATTTTTTTGTATTTTCAGTAGAGACAGGGTTTCACCATGTTGACCAGGATGGTCTCGATCTCTTGACCTCGTGATCCACCCGCCTCGGCCTCCCAAAGTGCTGGGATTACAGGCTTGAGCCACCGTGCCCGGCCTATAAGTTTTTTCTTTTGTTTTTTGAGTCAGAGTTTCACTGTATCACTCAGGCTGGAGTGCAGTGGCACAGTCACAGCTCATTGTAGTCTTGACCTCCTGGGCTTAAGTGATCCTCCTGTTTCAGCCTCCCGGGTAGCTGGGACCATGGGTGTGTACTGCCGTGCCTAATTATTATTATTATTTTCTTGTAGAGACAGGTCCGGCTTCATTGCCCAGATTGGTCTTGAACACTTGGCTGTAGGAGATTCTCTGATCTTGACCTCCCAAAGTGCTGGAATTACAGGTGTGAGCCACTGTGGCTGGCCTATAAGTTTTGTTTTAAAGTTAGGTTGAGTGACAATTCCCTAGAAAATTTTATTTTCTAAACCTAACTGAATAAAGAATTGCATATTTTGTATTGCATATATTGGTAAAAACTGTGAAGTTGATCAGGTTGTCACAATGAATTATTTTTTGAGTTTTCCCTCTTCCGAAATCCCTTGAAATGATGGAAATAATATTAAAACTTTACTAAGAAACAAAATATTAAATGGGTGGAGATTTTATATATATATGTTATATATATATATATATATATATATAGTTATATAATTTTCATCTTAATTATATATAAATAATTTCTATCTTTTTTTAAAACCACCCAATTAGGTAATAATAGAATTCCTGTTTTAAAGTAACAGTGTGTGTATACACATGCACATGTGTGTATGTGTATATATGTTAAATTTTTGTCATGGGAGTTTTACATATTTTATGTATAATTAAGATAGAAATTATATATTATAGCACTTTTTTATATATATGTAATCTCTATCATGTATATGTAAAACATTCCCATGTTAATTATATATAACACAAATATTTGTGCTATCCTGAAACATAAACATAGATAATGATGTTTTAGAATGGGAATACTCAGGAGGATAAAGGTACCTGTTCTCCCATTAGCCTGTGAATTCAGTATTTATGTGTTCTCATCTAGAATTTCCATGGAACCTGACAAGCTGACTTTGATACTTGTGTGAAAGAGGAAATGTGCTAGAATAGCTGGGAAGGCGGTGAAAGTTAGCAACAACAAGCATAGTGAGGGGAAATTTGCCCTGCTGAGTATAAAAACCTCTGAATACTAGAGTAACTTGAAAAGTGTGGCATTGGCACAAGAAAAGACAGGCAAATCAAATTAGTGAGTCTAGAATTGTGGATAAGTAGGAATATACTTTATAATGAAGATGGAGTTTCTTTTTCTTTTCTTTTTTTTTTTTTTTTTTTTGAGATGGAGTCCCGTTCTGTTGCCCAGGCTGGTGTGCAGTGACGTGATCTCAGCTCACTGCAATCTCTGCCTCCGAGGTTCAAGTGATTCTCCTGCCTCAGCCTCCTGAGTAGCTGGGATTACAGGCACATGCCACCACACCTGGCTAATTTTTATATTTTTAGTAGAGAAGAGGTTTCACCGTGTTGGCCAGGCTGGTCTCAAACTCCTGACCTTAAGTGATCTGCCCACCTCGGCTTCCCAAAGTGCTGGGATTACAGGTGTTAACCACCACTCCTGGCCTTTTTTTTTCTCTTTATTTGCTATTTCAGGCCCATAGAAGCATGCAAGGGGTAATACAACAAATGTCCATCTACCTACCACCTGTGGTGTACAAAACTTAGTATTTTATCATACTTGCTTCAGAATTATTTAATAAAGGCAATACTTCCTCTGCACAAGTGCTTACCTTATAATTACTCTTGAATTATTTTTACAATTGACTTATGAACTCTCAAATTTAGAACCATGTATTTTTATCTTTATATTTGTTTTTCAGACATTTATAGAAAGATACTAAGCAGATACTGTGCCAGATCTTATGCTAAGTTTTTATATACTGTTTTTGCTTTAAATAGCTAATTATATTATTTGTCACATAATAACCTATTTTAAGTGTAAAAAGAAATGACCCATTAATGTTTTCAAACCTTGGTAACTTTTATTAAGTAAATACCTAAGAGGAAGCTTTTACTGGTAATTATGGTTTTATTTATGTAGCTATAGTTATCATTTATTAGAAGTACACTTGATGTTTTAGTTCTTATTAATTCTGTTTTTTCCCATCATGTTTAGGTGGTTTCCTAGAAACATGATTGTTTGTTGGCGTTGATCTCACAGTCTGGTGAGGACTTCTTTACTGATAATGTCAAGTTCAGGTTATCCTCCCAACCAAGGAGCATTCAGCACAGAACAAAGCCGTTATCCTCCCCACTCTGTCCAGTATACCTTTCCCAGCACCCGCCACCAGCAGGTAAGGAACAAATGCTATGCAAATTGCACATGTTTTTTGTGTTTTTCTTTACTTTTCCTATTTAATAAACATGTTGGTCAGAAACTACCACATGTACCTTTTTTTTTTTTTTTAAGTGGCAAGAACTGTTTACAAAGATGAGGAACCAAAGGTTGGGAATTATTCCTGTTTTCTTACTGTGGCTTTATGAACTTGTCTTTGCTTTTGATTGTAGGAGTTAATGATAAATAGAAAACTATTATTTGTCTAGAATTTCAAGGGTAAGACCTATGTTTATACTCCAAGTTGTGGTTGACTTTTAAGCTGGCCAAATAACTTGGCCTCTCTTGAGTGATGGCCAGCATAAAGACCTCTGTCTTCTTGAGAGATTGATGGTAGGAAGCTTTGCATAGTAGGTAGGAAGGAAAGAGGGCATGGTAGATAGGCAGGAAGGAAGATTTTATCATAGGAAGAGTTTGTAAGAGATTGATTTACCTTGTGAAAAATAAAATATGAAGTGAGATAATAAGCTCATAGTAGACCAAGGATATGGGTGTAAGAGGTTTAAAGAAAAATAGGAAAGGATGTGATGAAATGGTCATCTCAGAGACTTAATAAAGCAGATTTGTTATCAAAATGTAGTTGGGTATTTACTATGGGGTCTTACTGAGGACTCCTTTGAAGTATAGTCATGATTATAGCGTTAGAGTGCACATTGTTACATTGTTCCTGTGTAGGGAAGCATTTAGTCTTTCATCATTACATGTAATGTTAGTTGCACGTTTTTGTTGATGCCTTTTTTGGTTGAAGAGGTTGCTTTCTGTTCCTAGTTTGAGAATTTCTGTCATGATTGGGTGTTGAATTTTGCTTGTTGTTCCCCCTACCCCACTGTTATTTACCAGTTTTCTGGATTATTGTTGCTACTGCTTTTTTAAACACATCAGGCTGAGCGCAGTGGCTCACACCTATAATCCCAGCACTTTGGGAGGCCGAGGCACATGGATCACTTGAGGTCAGGAGTTCAAGACCAGTCTGACCAACATGGTGAAACCCTGTCTCTACTAAAAATACAAAAAAAAAAAAACAAAATTAGCCAGGCATTGTAGTGGCCACCATTAATCTCAGCTACTTGGGAGACTGTGGCAGGAGAATCACTTGAACCCAGAAGTCAGAAGTTGAAGTGAGCCGAGATCCTACCATTGTACTCCAGCCTGGACCAAGAGTGAAACTCTGTCTGAAAAAAAAAATCAGCTTTGCGGTTAAGTTTATATATATATTTATTAGATTGCACTCATTATATGTGTACATTGTAACAAACTTTGACAAATTCATAAACCCATAGAACCATCACCAAAATGAAGATGCATTTCCAACACTCCAGAATATTCCTTGGCACCCCATCCTCCTTGGTACCCTATCTGTGTCAGTCCTCCTCCCTGACTTCCTGCTAACCTCAGCTCCTAGGAAACCACTGTCTGCTTTCTATCCTAATACATTGTATATGTTCTGAGCTTCATGGGAACTCTTTTGTCTGTGGCCTCTTTTGCTTCCCATAATACTTCTGTGATCTATCCATGTCTGGCACATCTCAGTTCCTTCCTTTTTATTGTTGGTTATGGGTGTACCACAATTTGTTTGTTTATTTATTTATTTATTTATTTATTTTTGAGACGGAGTCTTGTTCTGTTGCCCAGGCTGGAGTGCAATGGTGCCATCTGGGCTCACTGCAACCTCTACCTCCCAAGTTCAAGGAATTCTCCTGCTTCATTCAGCCTCCTGAGTAGCTGGGATTACAGGTGCTTGCCACCATGCCCAGCTAATTTTTGTATCTTTAGTAGAGATGGACTTTGCGCTGTTGGCCAGGCTGATTTTGAACTCCTGACCTCAGGTGATCCACCCACCTTGGCCTCCCAAAGTGCTGGGATTACAGGTGTCAGCCACTGTACCCAGCCCCAATGTATTACTTTTATTGTTCATATTTTGTGCTTTTTGTGTCATATCTAAGAAGTTTTTGCCAAATTCAGGGTCACCGAGATTTTCACTTATGTTTTCTTCTCTAAGTTTTGTAATTTTAGGTTTTTCATTTTGGTAAATTATCTGTTTTGAATTAAAATTTTATATATGGTATGGTAAGCGTTGAGTTTCAGTCCTTCCGCGTTAAGAATGATGTTAACTTGGAGAATGCCCTTTACTCCTGTGTTCTCTTAAGGGATTTGTGTAGGATTGGTACTTTTTCTTTTTTTTTTTTTTTTGAGATGGAGTCTGGCTCTGTCACCCAGGCTAGAGTGCAATGGCATGATCTTGGCTCATAGCAACCTCCTCCTCCTGAGTAGCTGGGATTACAGGTATGCGCCACTACGCTCAGCTAATTTTTGTATTTTTAGTAGAGATGCGATTTCACCATATTGGCCAGGCTGGTCTCGAACTCCTGACCTTGGTGATCCACCTGCCTTAGCCTCCCAAAGTGCTGAGATTACATGTGTGAGCCACCATGCCCAGCCTTTTCTTTATTTTTTTGAGACAGCAGAGTCTCACTCTGTCGCCCAGGCTGGAGTGGGCAGTGGTGTGATCTTGGCTCACTGCAACCTCTTTCTCCTGGGTTGAAGCAATTTTCCTGCCTCAGACTCCCAAGTAGTTGGGATTACAGACATCCATCACCATGCATGGCTAATTTTTTGTATTTTTAGTAGAGATGGGGTTTTGCCATGTTGGCCAGGCTGGTCTTGAACTCCCGACCTCAGGTGATCCACCCACCTCAGCCTCCCAAAGCACTGGGATTACGGGTGTGAGCCACTGTACCTGGCCAGCATTGACACGTTTTTATCCTTAGATATTTGATAGAATTTATCAGTGAAACCCTTGGGCCCCAAATTTTTTTTTATGGGAAGAATTTAAATATGAACTCAGTTTCTTTAATAGTTATTAATTCAGATACTCAGTTTTTTCTCGAGTCAGTTTTGGGTGTATTTTGTTGTTTAAGGTATCAAATTTATTGACACAAATTGTCACAATATTCCCTTGTTTCAATGTGTTTGAGATACGTTGTGATGTTGTTTCTCATGTTGATAATGTGCTTTTTTCTTATTTTTTATTTAATCAGTCTGCCTAGAGTTTTGTCAGTTTAGTAGATTCTTGGAAAAACTAGTTTTGGATTCAGTCATTTTTACTGTTTTTCTATTTCACTGATTTGTGCTCTTTATTATTTATTTCCTTCTCTGATTGCCTGAGTATAACCATTTCTGACATCCTTTTTTTTTTTTGAGACAGAGTTTTGCTCTTGTTGCCCAAGCTGGAGTGCAGTGACACAATCTCAGTTCACCACAACCTCCACCACCAGGGTTTAGGCTGCTAGGATTACAGGCGTGAGCCACCACGCCCAGCCTAGATATAGAATTCTAAGTTGAAAGTTTTAGTATTATTTTATTTATTTATTTATTTATTTATTTTTTAATGCTCTATCAGCCAGACAGTTGTAGTATTTTAAGATATGTCATATCATCTTATTCTGGCTTGTATGGTTTCTGTCTAGAAGCCTCAATTTTTGTTCATTTATTTATAAAACACATTTTCCCTCCTCTAGTTCCTTTTTTTTGAGGCAGTCTTCCTCTGTTGTTCAGGCTGGAGTGCAGTGGTGCGATCTCGGTTCACTGCAACTTCTGCCTCCTGGGTTCAGGCAGTTCTCATGCCTCAGCCTCCTGAGTAGCTGGGACTGCGGGCACACACCACTGTGCTCAGCTTAAGTTTTTTTTTTTTCTTTTGTATGAGATGGAGTTTCACTCTTGTTGCCCAGGCTGGAGTGCAATGGTGCCATCTAGGCCCACCACAACTTCTGCCTCCTGGGTTCAGGCAGTTCTCATGCCTCAGCCTCCTGAGTAGCTGGGACTGCGGGCACACACCACTGTGCTCAGCTTAAGTTTTTTTTTTTTCTTTTGTATGAGATGGAGTTTCACTCTTGTTGCCCAGGCTGGAGTGCAATGGTGCCATCTAGGCCCACCACAACTTCTGCCTCCTGGGTTCTAGAGATTCTCCTGCCTCAATCTCCGTAGTAGGTGGGATTATAGGCATGCACCACTATGCCTGGCTAATTTTGTATTTTTAGTAGAGACAGGGTTTCTCTGTTTTGGTCAGGCTGGTCTCAACTCCCGACCTCAGATGATCCACCTGCCTCGGCCTCCCAAAGTGCAGGAATTTCAGGTGTTAGCCACCACACCTGGTCTCCTCTGGTTACTTTTTAACATTTTTCTCTTTTTCATTGGTTTTCAGCAATTTGGGTGTAATGTGCGTTTGTGCGTTTGTTGTGCCTTTTTTTTTCTTTTTTTTTTTTTTTT